AACACCTGGTTTCCCTATGTCCCATATTCCCACAACGCTTGCAAATATATCGTCTGAACTCAGAAAATCGAGCGAAATGCCACTGACCACAATGCCAACAAGCACTACGCGGGCGGCCTCGTCTTGCGAAGTCGGAGAGACGTACTGAATTGTGCGATGGCCTGGGGCGTGTCGGAATACTATGAACATCCACCACACAAGACTCGCTGTGTCGTTGGATCATTTCTGTGTCATGCTTGAGTGTCAACATACGTTCACATCCCTGTACCAGCTCCTGTAGTCAGACTTCTGGATTAAACTCCAACCGAGATAACAAACGTGTTCGAATCTCCGTATCTTTTGGAGAACGTAATCCGCAAACAAAAATGAGTGCTTTAAACTGATCACTTGTGAGTGTGCTAAGCTGAAAACGTCCACATTCCGTTACCACTAGATGCATAAGTCACAAAACCATCCTCCTTATGTTTAACAACTTGAAAACATCGGAAAAGTGAAGTGTTGGGGCCGAAAATTCTGGTCAAGTGTTTCAAAGTGTTGTCCAATGATATATCGCGTGGGTTCTTGGGTAGAATGTAATTAGAGTACTTTTCATACTCTTGTGGACCCAATTTCCTCAAAAGAAGATGTACCTGAGCTGCATCGCCTAGCTCACGCCCATCAATTTTTAATAAGTCTTCATAGCGGCGAAACCATGCTTCGAAAGTGAGGTCATCGTCCGGCTGGTAATGAAATTCTGCCATACTATGCGCCAGCTTGTCTGCAGTGGAAATCGTTGAATCCGTAGATGCTGACTGTAACGACATTCGTATTGTCAATGTTTCAATTACGCACTGCTGCGACGCCTCAAACTGTGCTTGCTATCTGGACAGCATTTCTTGAAGAAATTCCAAAGGGACCGTCATGGTTCCCCGTCGCCAGTCTATTATAACGTCTGACTGTAACTGAACCCACTCCGAAAGGGAAGCAAGAACACCACCGTGCGGGACGAGCTGTATTGAAAAACTGACAAAGCTGAGCAACCGGGTTGCAAAAAGATCAATAAGCCAAACAGATGAAAGGACATAGTTATAAATGGTGAGCGGTCTAGCTCTGAACGGCTGTCGTGCGTGGGACAAACACAGTCACGAGGCGCGTCAGTCACGAATGTCAAACTATCTAGCTCTGAGCGAGCCCGTTTAACAGAGTGGGATACTGTCGGGTTGCACAGGCTTTCGGTTCAAAAATCTGACCGCATGACAGCGGGTGTGAATTGCAATTGTTATCCTTCTTTTCCCACTCGTCAGCATATGTATATATTCCATACAGCCTTAGTATGCCCTTTGTGTATAATCACACGGAGTATAAAGCACGACGGTGACATTTGTTTATTTGGATCGCTGTGGTTAATCGAAACACCGGCCAATGGCTCATAATCACGCACTTCACAGTTGACGTGCTGGTCGCTGCTGTCCATCTCACACCTGACCACGAACATAGACTGCTGGGATTGTTTCAGTGCACTGATAAGCAACACTGAGGTCACTTTTACAAACCTAGTCGTAAGTCACCGATGTAAATTTAAATGTACTTTTATAGAACCAGGTTTACGATTTCCGCTACAAGTTTTACTTCTTTTGCCTTGGGAATCAAGCTGTGTGTGTGAGACTAGGCTTATAGAGTGCAATACTTCATCTACTGGCACTCACAGCGGGTACGAACAATGTTTTAAGGAGCCACCGTTATCATCAACAGCAGTACAACAGCCATTTGAACTGATGCTTCGCTGCCATACAACCATGAGGACCTATGAAATAAAGAATTAGAAGATGGGGAGAAGGGGGAATCACCTGAAAACCTTAATGTCCTAAGCAAACATTCAGAGTCAAGGCGCCTACACCTTGTGTAGACAACATACTGTCACAAACAGCTGGTTATCGTGCTAAGATAAGGCGGCATCGGCGAGACAGCTTTCTCGCGGCTTTCACTGCCACGAGTCATAATCAGCCATTACCCCGCAGATAACTCAGCACCAAACATACTTTAAATAGGCAGTCCGATTAGGAGACGGCAGCAGACGCGCCACTGGTGTCTACTGCGAGCCATGTCCTGTAAAGTCTCGAGCCAAGCAAAAGGCGAGTCAGGTGGACTCCAACCCGGAAGGCGAGACGGACCAACGGCACCCAGTTTGCTCGCCAGCGACTTCATTTCACGCTGCCAAGTCAACTTCTGTCCACCTCGAGCCTTGAGCCACCCTACACCTGGCAGACTAAACAAGGCCCTCCTAGATAAGCGGTGACCAGGTATACATAGCACGTGCCCGAGCCAACGCAACTGATTTAGTGCTATCTGCTGTTCTAGGGAGCTAGCATGATTATCACCACCTAGTACTCGCCTACGCATATCATCGTTGCGGACACTCTGGTGCTATCCGACACCAGCAACGCTTCGCAGACAACGATGATCAAAGACTTGAAGGCGCCTCAGATTTTCAGGCCGAAGGGGCTAAGTTTCATTACCATAGAGCAGAACGGCCCTCACTGTGACCTTGTATACACGGCCTTTCACACGATGAGAAATTCCCTTCTGTCGCAAAGATGCCGCAGGTTCAAGAAGGCTTGCCTCTGCAATGCGCGAGCTGACGTCAGTTGCTGATGCAGCTGCCAAGATAAGTGAAACGATCAACCACCTCGAGTTCTTCGTTAGCAAGCGTCAAGAGGTCATCAAGTGGCTGGTGATCCTGCAGCAACACGTTGCACTTTGAAGGTGCGAAGTGCATACCAAATAATGGGACCACTCTGGACACGCTATTCAGGGTTGATTGCACCGCCCCAACATCGTCGAAAAGCAAGACGATATCGTCCGCATAATCTAGATCAACTAACCTTTCACCAGGCAGCACTTCAACGCCTACATCTTGAGATTCCGCAAGGGAACACTCCATGATAGAATCCACGGCGAAATTGAACAAAAATGGGGAAATCGGACAACCCTGACGAACGCCACTTGTGGTCGGAAAGCTATCCGATAGGACACCGTAGACCCTGACGCGACCTGTAGTGTTCGAGTAGAGAGCACGAAGCATGTTGATATATTTCGTGGGAACACCTTTCCGCGCAAGTATTTCGAACAGAATCGATCGATCGACTGAATCGAACGCACTCTTGAAATCAAGGAACATAGCTATTGTCGGTCTGCGGTATGTGTGGCGCTGCTCTAGCACCTGCCGCAAGGTGAATATATGGTCTATACAGCCACGTCCTGGGCGGAAATCAGCCTGCTCTTACCTAATCCGAGATTCCCGTTCTGCCACTATCACACCAACCGCAACCTGGATGCTGAATTTTTCTGGTCTCTAACCTTTGATCAATGTGATATGAATGACCGGAGATGCAAGAGGCACCATCCAGCACAGCTCAATAGGTCGTTGAGGCGCGCAAACTATCGCACCGCGGTAAAGTCCAGCCTCAATGCGCTGGATCGGTTGTGTGCAAATTGAAGTCCCTCATCAGAAGGACGTGACTGTATGACCGTACCAGGACACGCTTCATTGCAAAAACTAGGCGGGGGTCCATTTGCAAGGTGGACATTGGAGAGCGATAAACTATGGCTAGTAAACACACCTCGCCGACTCTCATGTGTAGACGGCACCAAAGAGAATCGACAACTCGCGTTTCTGGACCGTCGGTAATATCTATATGCAAGTCAGATTGGTGACACAAAATTATCCCGTTTCCTCTGCCAGGTCGATCGTTTCGTAGAAAAACGATGCCAGGTAGAGCCGACCCAGCATTAGTGATCTCAGTATTCTGCCATGTTTTGATTACCATGACGATGCCGCAAAGCTTTGAGACCTGACGAGTACCAACCTCGGTTGACGTACTGGGAAGACATCGTGCATTGGTACAAAAGCAGGTGAGGGTCTCAGAAGTTAGGAGTGTGTTTGTAGATGCGAATTTCAGGTGAGAGTCTGTGCTGAACGCTGGGTGGTCGGTTGCCAATCGCTTTTTGTAGAACTGCCAACGCAGGCCCCAGGGTCACTCCGGGTGGGTGTGGAAAGTGTTTAGTGTCAGCAGGTGGCTGATAACCTAGTTCTTCTTCAGCTGACGGAATGTTTTAACAATATATCGATTTTGAGCTGCATGCTGACTGGGTCGCGCATGTGACCTAGTTGTAGCATTGTGCAAGGGTAGGACACGATTAGGCCAACAAGAACAGTCCAGGTAAACAAATATTGTGATCCGGACACCGAAGTGTGATGGAGCTAGCTGCCGTGACTCACCTCTCCAGGATAACAACATATTGCACTGCTGCGAAATATGAGACAACACAAACAGAATGATAAGTAGAGGGCGTTAAGAAAGAATAGAGTAACAGTGACTGAGGATAAAATGAGTACTAATAGTCAGGTGCAAGAAAGCGAATAAAAGAGCGCCACAGACTGCACCATGTCCGTGAGCGTCTCCAACCACTGATGTGGATGATCCCGAGACCCCCATCCATGAAGACGGTACGCACCGGACTGGACATGTCTTTCGAGCAATTGCTTCATGCCTTTGTGCCAAGTAACCGACTGGATCCCAAGAAGTTTCGCCAAACTTGGTGCATCGACAGCAATCTAAGGCACACTATGGAAGGTGGTCAACAGGCACATGGAAGACGTGGTTTAGTCAACCTAAGTGGTTCAAGTTTAAAGGAAGCTCTAGTGAAAGACCACGAGGTCTCTTGGAAAACATCGGCTGACGGAGCTCAGTATTGCTCACTCGGTGATTTCAAAACGAACTCGGATTATTACTCCATTTACTGTTCTGCTACGACAAGTTAAGATTGGTGTTTTGTGTTAAAGATTTGTTGTGCCTAGAATTTAGTCAGTGGAGAAAAAAAAACCACAGATGGTTTCGAGAAGTTGATGGCATTGGTAACATGAAGACAATGGTAGACGGGCTCCAAGCACCCCAAGAATGAACGGTACAGTAGGAGAGCCAAATAATGAAACAGCGTATAGAGAAATAAGATATATATATATATATATATATATATATATATATATATATATTATATGTGCGCTACAGATGGATCAGGGCTTCCACAACCGAAGAAAACCGTCCTCTGAATAAGTCGCGATCAGGTTCTGATGAGGGTGGTGGGTACATCCAATAACTTCTTTTTCGTGTACCTGTGATGAAGATGAAAACAACGAGGAACACGCAGCCAATGAAGAGCAAATGCGGTAGAACATGCTGAATGGTGGGATCAGAGAACATTAGTTTGGCACAACGAGTAGTAAGTTTCCGGCCGTAAACGGGACACAGAAAGAAAACAAGCTTTGTCCGGCTATTTTGACCTTAAGGAAAAGGTGGTTAGCACACCTATAGATAACGGCCGTTCGTAAATGGGAGCTGTGGAACGGGAACACCCTAAGTCCGAGGCGTGCAGAATTATGTAAGAAAGGCAGAGTGCAAGGCTGATTTTGAACACAGTAGTCTAGCCGATTAGAGAAAATCATAATAAAATAAAGCCAATAAGTTGGACAAACAAGAGAGCTTGAAAACATATGCTAAATGAAGGGCATGTTAAGACAAGGGTGTTCACGAAACTTACAGGCATAGTGCGTTCAAGTGTGCCACCGCTGGAAACGTTGAAACAATACAGAAGGCGGTCCTCGGCCACACAATAGATCCACTCACCACGGCTGCTGACGGTGCAGTCGATGAAATCCCCACCCTCACGTTTGCCGTTAGAGAAACTACGCACCACCTAAAGGTTTGAAGAGCGAGGACAACGACAAGTAAAGGATACCGATTGAATACCACCGTTTTGGTCACATGGTTCAAGCTAGTCGACCATAGGATGTGTAAATAGTGTGGACAACACTGGAATCGAGCCAGTATGTATCAGAAGGAAGTAGTGCAGCAGAAGTGTCCAAGCTAACAGAGTGTGGTAGCTGGAAGCTCCAAGGGGAAGAGAGAAACAGTGATAAAAATGCTAGCCCTAGGCCGGAAACATACGAACGGTTGGGGATGCCATCAAAACTGATCACAATTAATCCGAATAAATCGTGCCGATTCGAACAAGGACTAAGTGGCACCTCGAAATTGATGAATGCAACATAAAGAAGAATTGGGAAACGACGCACCGTGAAGACAATGAACCGAAATGTATTTAAACATGGATGATGCTGCGATGGATGAGAGTAATGCCATGATCCGATGAGTAGCACATTCCAAGCAAAGAGAAACCACATTTAAATTCATCAGTCAAACTACCAAGGAAACCAAGTTCTCATAACTTAGTGCGTGTTTTATCGCCGAAAAGTGCAGACAAGATAGCAGGTCCCCAATGTATCTATGATTACCAAACTAAGACGTCGATGACGAAGATCATACGGTTGGTGTCGCTGAGAACATTGAGTCAGTGGACAGTGGTAGCTAAGTTGTCAGAGTAAGTCCCGATGGATACGCAGAAGCTGCATTCCAAAAGATGGAACCCAGTGAACAGCTGATGAAACAGCACTTCAGTGCGGGCAAATAAATACAAGATCTACATAGACGATCGTTAGTTCGGACTAAATTTGGCAGTCGTGTGAGAGATGAAACCAGAAATTAGATATCGCATAGATAACTTGCTGGGTGAACGACTTTAGTCGACACAATCAAAAGATGGAAAACAACCTGACTGGACACAAATCAGGCAAAATATAACCCGTACGCGTCCCATCACTATCTTGCAGCGCAAAGATAGTAATCGCAACATATGTGGGGAGTCTTCGCTTGAGAAATCTGAAACACTATGCTCCATTTACCCACTGGGTAAACGCAGACAGAAGACAAAAGTTGCGATAGGTTAATACTTTGATTGCTCTCGTCAGTCACAAACGCAATACAACATTTGGGTGATAAAGTAACGTAGGTACATGTGGAAATTATAAGGGCAAATCAAAGTTGAGCGATCAAGATCACGTCAATCTGATGGACTACTTCAGTTGTTTTTGAGCGCACAATACCGGCCAGTTTACCGCAATCAACAGAGCCTTATTGATTGCCAGCGAAGACTGCCCGTATACGTTGCGAAGGTGTTGGATCGATTGCTATTTTTGCGCTGCGAGATAATGATGAAACGCGTACGCATTGTATTTTACAAGGATCGTGTCCAGTCAGGTTGTTTTCCATCTAAGTTCGCTAAAGCGCTATTAAGGAACCCACAAAAGAGACTTATAAATCACCTGTTCCCACCACGCTGGGTATGGGCGATGACGACCTCGCGAAGGGTCGTCCACACTGAGACTCCTCTTCGCGACGTAATTTGCACGCGGTAACACCGCTGAAGGAGAGACAAATTTTCATCGAAGCTCGATGTAGAGAAAACACGATTATTACCAAAAAAGTGCTTCTTGTTCGATATACAAATAGAGAGTAACAGCTGGGGCGACAGTATTGCTACGCCAAACTCAAGTGGTGGCGCACCAAACCCCCGTTGCGACTCTAGTAGAAAGCGATAACGCACATGACCCAATATGTAGTTCGAATTGGTTCAATCGGTGCAAATGAACGATGAAAGGAAGAATGATTTCTCGTGGTAGTTTCGACAAACGCTCCCACAGGTGTTAGTAGAGAGGCAGATTGAGAAGAGTTCTACAAAAGCTCATCATCTCGAATTCGACCGGTTAAACATGGAGAGCGTGATCGCTGTGAGTGAACATGAAGGTTATCTTAAGCTCGACATCTATTGCATTGATAATTGCGACCGATAGCTCAAATGGCGGTCGTGCTGAGTTAAATGATGCCCGCTGAACGATGGACAGCGCGCGTCAACCCAGGATTTTCGGTTGTGCTGCAGCGTCCGCATTGCGCGATTCTACAGCGTAACATCATGGAGTCAACAATGATAGCGATTAGATGTGGGGAAATGAGATAACCATGGCGTGGTTGATTTATGTACGCAAAGGCATTCGACAACTCGCCACAAACCGCGACGCGACCAGAAAGACTAGACAACAATGAAGGTAAAATGTTTACAGAATTCTTGGAGATCTTTCTCAGAATCATGATAAAGTACGGAGCTACCAACCCAGTCGAACAAAGAAGATAATCATAAAGGACCCGCGGCGCAATGTGTTATACACGGCACCGTCCGGAAGGAAGCTTTTCAACACCCCTTTCACACATGGCATCAGGTCCACAGTAAGACCATGAACGAGAGGGCATAACCCTGATCTAATGACACAGTAGAGTCGCACGCATGAAACTGAAAGTAGTAGTAGTGAATTGAACAGTCAAACGAACGTAGCTTACCTGACCCTGCATATTCATTATGGCCACAGTGTTAGATCGGCTTCCGACAACAAATTGATCCGCGTTTCTCGGCATCATGAGAACCGTGTGAATGGCGACTTCATGACCAACCAGTCCGGAAATGGCCTACGAGATTGCGGAGGGAAGGAAGAAACATGCAGATGTCATACTTTAACTAGCCGTTTGAGAGTATCCAACTGGTGCAACAGGTGTGGTACGCATCAGCATTGTGCGTCAAGCACAAGAGGATAAAGCACATCGCTACAGCTCAAGTAATAAAAGAGTATGGACATAAAAGTGGAGCGGTGGCATACTTGAGAATGCAAACTAGAAAAGCTGTCGCACATATCATCGGCTACAAGAAAAGTAGACGTCCCTTGTCAGTTAACACGAGAAGAGAATGGAACAGTGGAGGAGGACGACAAGCAACGATGGTTAGTGTGGAGATGACAATTTCCGGTCACTTAGTACGAGAGGAAGTTTGAAAGATGAAGGCAGGAGACGTGTAGACCGGAGGGTGACAAATTTAGCCACAAATGACCCAGGAGTGAGGCAAATAATAGAAGAAACGATGAGAAATTTCGAAGTAAAAACGCACTTTGAATGTGTTTGTGCATTCGCCGGACCGTACGGACCAAAGGCGCACCGAACCATCAGAGCTGCCACTAATTATATGGTGCCCGTCTGGTGTGAATCCAACCGAATTGACGACCGCGGTATGTCCGAGAAATTCCTTGATCAGTTTGCCTGATTTCAGACCATGAATCCTACGATAAAGGAAGCACGAGAGTCAAATTGAATAGTCGACAATACAACCCTATAACAAACAAAAAGCCTCAGAAGACAATGTTAGCGAACAAGCCCGTCTTCAGTGGTTCATCATCAGGCTAATACACGATGAATGAGAAATATGGAGCCTCGAGAAACGAAGGCACAATTGATTTCAGCGGGAAGGAAACCGGTTTACATGTCGTTACCGTTCAAAGGGGACAAGATAGTGGAACCTATTGGTCAAACCTACTACGCGGTAAGCTTACGGTTCGGCTTCAGTTTAGTACCAATTTCCCATCAGGAATCTAAGAACAGGATCCTCTTCCTCTTATTCGCGTCGATCAAGATATATCGGACGGAATGCCAGGAGACTGTCCGAGAGAACCCGGGAACATTGTTAAGCTTGGCTGTGTAGCGGAGTGACTGCGGTAACAAGCGCAGTGTCTACGCATTTGGCTGATTCGAACCACCAGATCAAGGCGCACGAGGCGTTCCCAAATGTCACACACGTGGTTAGATGTTGCCTACTGGCAGCTGCCGAAGAGATCGTCATTTGGCTTCATGACGCTGACCTATGTGCGCAAAAGAAATTTGTCCAGGCACTCACCTTACCCTGGCTCCTTGTAATGCTGACCCATGGTGTGGGTAACACCACACACACCCTTGATCGCTGTCGTCACTCAGACCATCTTGGGCTTTGAAATTGCACCCTTATTTGTTGTTTACGTTTAAGTCATTCATTGGTGGTGTATTAGCCTGATGATGAACCACTAAAAACGGGTTTGTTCGCTAACAATTCCTTCTTACATTTAGGATATTTTATCAGTAGAAACAAAAGATCATCTGAGGTGTAAGAGACGACTGAAACCAAAATCAACAAAAGTATCAGCTTGACGTTGGTCCAGCAAACGGGATTCCATCCGCTACAAAAATGAACTAGGATCGAGTAGCTGAATACTGTATTGTGGAATCAAGTGAAAATTTGAATCTGTACAACTCCATGGAAATCTGATCATAAAAAAGTAAACTAAGACTTGTCAATACGCTGATCGTTTTTCACGTTGTGACGTTATAATGTTAAAAAAATGACATTTACATGAGGAAAACAAGGGAAGCATAGACGAGTAAGAGAAGAACGAATGATAAAAGTGAATGAAGATGGATAGATACAGTCAGCGTTTCATTCTCAGCTCACAATTGTTGGCATGGCTTGGCAGAGTAAGCAGAATATGAAGAATGAAGACAAAATTGTAATCGCAACCTCAATTTGCAATTCCTCTGCAATCCACACTTATTGGCGCGTCTGTGAGGTATGCTTTCCCGAGTAAAGAAGAGTGAAGGGGGTTCTGTCAACTTTTCATCTTTTTTCAGTTCAGGAGCGCCAGACCAAGAAAATATATTGAATGTAACAGATTTGCTATACATTTGTAATCAAATGGCTTTTTCATTGCAATTAAGTTGTAACGCTGTTTACACGTAGTGCACCGTCAGACAGTTTGAAATTGCTCTACTAAACACTGGGTGCGATTCGCATGCTCGCATTTCAATAGGAAGCCTGATCCGGATCTTCGAACATAATTTTTCATTTTTAACGTCAGCAATATCTTTTTGGTATTCCTAATTGCGATCGACGTTCTCGCTTGAAGTGAATAGTGATATGGGTGTGAGTCAAATCGAATAGGAATGCTAATCCTAGCTTCATGCGTCTTAGTCACAGTGGCTCCAGTCGCAGCACCTTACAACGCCGACAGTGGTTAAGTTTGATGATAAGTCAAAGAGGGTCTTGGTGAATGATCGCCGCGCGTTTTCTAGGCACATGCGGTCGCGTTTCCTGCGGCTTGTAAAAATAATCGAGCGGTATTATTCTAGTACAGGGCGAACGCAGGCCTTGAACAAGTGTAGTTTATGTTCACGCATCGTGAATGGATTTAAAATGAATTTTGCACTTCTTCGTGATCTGGGCATTACGAATTCAAATTGCTAACCAAAATTCAGTGTTAGAGTACGGGGTGCCTCAGTGCAGTGGATGGGTTTACCACCAAGGTAAAGTTGATTGATATTCCCGGTGTGGTCGCGCTTGACGGGAATGTAGACAAGGTGCCCACCTGTCGAAAAACCGCTATTTAGATTAAACTGGTTCCGGGAGACAGCTCGTTCTTGCTGGGGAGGGGCGCACGGCCCTCGTGACCGCGCTAAGTTCAAAGAGTCGTTCTATACATCCACTTTGGAACGGGGTATGGCCCAACCACCACCTTGTGTATGTCTGGTACGCATGCTTCCCCAAATAGGCATGTATGCTTCTGCTCTGCTTGTTGAGTGAGTGTGGACCGGCATCGTTGATGAAACGTGGCTCCCATCCACATGCCTCCCGGTCTTATTCCTTCGGGTTTACGCTGGATATGGGGTGTGTGGTTGGAGCTGTGGGTGGGGCAGCGCAAGCCACCCATGGTCCCTCTGTAGGCGCAGGCGTCCTGTAGCTGGCCACAGTGACAGGCAAATCCGAAACCAGATGCCGCCAACCATGTATGTATGTGTGCCCCATGCTGAGGCTGATGTTGCATTCTTGATGCTTCTTCACCGCAGTTGGGCTAAACCAACTTACACTTAAACTAGGTCTTTTTAAGCTGGATAAATTTCATTCCACTTTATTTGGTTTGTTCTGCCTACCTGAACAATGTTCTATTAACTGGCCACGTTGCTAATGCTAATTGCGCTTATCTTCGGTAAATTTTTTTGTGTTCGTAGCATTTTTAAGTAATTTGTGGACATTTCTTACCTATCGTGGATTCTTTGCTAACCAACTTACTTCATATGGCAATTTAGGGAAGAGTTATGCCACCGTGTCTGTATGCATTATTGGATTTATTTTATTTCATCTTGTCGTTTAAAGTGTATGGCTGTTGCTTGATATCCCCGGTGTGGCTGCGCTTGATGTGCATGTTGACAAGGTGCCTATCTGTCTATTACCCACTACCTCGTTCATACTGGCTCCAGGAGACAGTTGGTCGTTGCTGGAGGGGACGGGGTGCACGGTCCTTGTGGCCGTGCTAGGCTCAAAGAGCGGTTCCATGCACTCAGTGTGGAGCGGACTACGGTCTAGCCACCGCCTTGTGTGCGCTTGATTCCCCAACTACAGCGTGTTCGTGTTTGCCTGTGTAGGAGTGTGGGCCGGCTCCGTTGATGAAACGTGGCTCCCATCCACATGACTCCCGGTCTTATTCTTTCGGATTTGCACTGAATATGGGGTGTGTGGGTGGAACTGTGGGTGATGCAGCGCAAGCCATCCATGGTCCCTATGTAAGCGAAGGCGTCCGGTAGCAGTGACAGGAAAATCCAGTCACGGAGACACCAGCCAAATAAATAAATAAATGGTTGTTGGCATCCTTGCCCGGATTTGCCTGTCACTTCGCTGGTGAGCTGAGGAGGGAGTGATTGCCAGCCAGGTAACAGCAGTTTGCACTTGGAGGGGGTGAAGCACATACCATGTCTAGACGCTTCAACTGCCAGTCGGTCAAGGATCACGTGTATACCAAGTGAGTCATCACCAAGGCAAAGCGATATCATCAGCGTAATCAAAGCCAGTTGCGCGATCACCTGGGAGGAGCTTGATGCTAAAACATAAACGCCAAGTCGTGTTTAACCACCGGTATTGTTCACATCTGGTGGGAACACAGAGTGAGCCATGTTGAGATCCGCCGGTTGTTTTTTTTCGTAAGAAGCCTTCTGGTGCCTCACTGAATTACCGGTTAAAGTTGTACTGTTTACGATGGTTGGGGTATGTCCTACGTATGCCACATTATCATTAATAGTATACAAGTTAGCTAGAGGTGGGAAAACACCTCAGCTATTGTGCTGCAGTACATGAGAAAAAAAAAAGAAAAACGCAACAGAGGCACGCCAGCTGAGCCACTAGCAACGGATGGACATCGTTCCGGAGAGCTAGCAGCCGGCCATTGTGTCGGATGCCTGTTGATCGACTTCCTCGGCGTGCATTATACGCCTTGGCTGCGCCATTTTGGACGAAGTTCGAGGTGGCCAGTCCATGACGTTGCGGAATGGCACTGAGAAATTACCTGATAACCTTGGTCAGGCTGGTACGTGAATTCGGACCTCGGGATGGTCTGCACCAGTGGTTGGAAGCGCTGTCAGACATGGCGCATTCAGTTTCTTGCATCCAGATGCCAATCTTCATCCCATCCCGATTAATTTAAAGTACTTCTTCTTGATTCTATTGTATCCGCATCTTACGCGCATTCGGCTTCATTTGCTTACCGTTGTTATGTATTGTTGGCTATAGAAATGAAAACTGGTAGCTCAGGTTGTTCAGATAACAGTTGAATTGTTCGCCGAGCTTGGCAATTTTGTTACAATCGAGGTGACATCGTCAGTGCGTTGTTACGTAGCGTGTAGTATCGTTGCACAACGTAGAGAAGCCTCGGTGTGAGTGTTTTCATGACGAAGAGAGTTGTGGCAACTGGGTCCACCAAACTTCGGTGGTTGATGAGAATGAGCTAAACAGACAGAGGCCGCAGGTAAATAGGTACTAAGACGGATACAAAGCATAACGCTAGAAACTACCCATACGACCTACAGACATCCAGTCATGAGCCACAAGCCAAAAGTAGATGGTGTGTAGAATTCAAATCAGGATCCGGTATCGTTAAAAGATCTGGATACTCGTTGGCATGTAATCAATGGCCAGGGAATTGAAGATATCCAAGGAAACAACTGACCTTTGAACAAAACGCTAACTCATGCAATGGAGAGAACAAATTGTAACGAAACGCAACACAGATAGTGACTCACCGAATGCTGTGATCGAAACCGGCAGAGATGAGATGGGTGGAGTCACGAGAGAACTGTACCGCGGTCACGCCCTTACTGTGGGCTTTTTCAAAACGGCGTAAACACTGACCAGATTGAATCCGCCAGATTTTTATCTTTCCGTCGCTAGAGCCAGAAGCAAGCATCTCGGAGTCGCGACTAAAGACCAAGCATAACACGCCCTCCTCCATCATCATGAAAGTGTCCTGGTAGAAAGGAGAAGAGAAACACGATAATCTCGAACTACGTGTGCTAGAAGTCGGTGGGCGGAAGAGTAACTCGTAGGAATCCCCAGATATCGTTTTATACAGAACAGAAGGATGTGCATGTATGGCAATTAGGTTATTCACCGCTTTAATGCACAAATAAGATCAGTCGAAACTCCCCGTAAGTTTAGCATGACAACGCTGCACATCAGCACTCGAAGTTCCCATACAAATGAGACGCAAGTTCGGTGAAATGCTCATTGGCTTTTGCAGCATGATATCAGTGAAAGTCACGGTGGATGCAATAGATAGCACTCATTCCCTGCCTAGAGCTCATCAGAAAGACATCAGCGGTACGCCAGTACGCAGTGCCGACGCTTCGCTGCAGCGCAACCAACACCAATCGCACGTGGGCTAAGGATACTGGGAAAGGTCGCTTGGTCCTCTACGCAGGCTGGAACCCGCGCCCTCGGATTAAAAGGTAGCTTGTAATCCTTAAGGCTACAGGTGGGCAAACGAGATGGAGCATCTAATTGAAGTTTAAGCGGTTTCCTAACTGAGCACTGACTAGTAATATTTAGCGCGCGGCTGGAGAGTAAAGAAAAGGAAATGGATACATTCTTGAGCTTTGGCGCGTTTAAACGAATAACTGATGTGCCGGAAGCCTGTGACTAGACACGTAATCGAAAATGACATGCATAGTGTGCTGTAGATGATGCTTTGCGACGATCTGAACAATATGGAGACAGTTCTCAAGATTTTCGGTGAAGTCTGAAAAAATCTGCTTTCATTAGAAATGGATTCCCAAACGAATCCATCGATTCTTACCAAGTTGAAAACTATGGTACGCTCTTGTAATCTCTACAACGGTTTGATGAACACTGTCGTGCAAGACAGATTGTTTTTTAGAGTCATTAATGTAAGCACGACCAAACTGTCTCTGCGACAAGGTTATTTATCGTTCAAGTAATGCGCCGACATACAACAGTGAGCCCTCAACTAAACACTTCGTCCAATAAGCACAAAAATTAATTGATTCAAAAGTAATGAGCGATACTAAGATCGGACTATCCTAAAGGCCTACACTTTGATAGGATGAAGCATGAGACCTGTGATTTATGTCTCACAATGTTCGAAGGACCACGAACAATGTTCAGTGTAGGATCGCAATTTCACCAAGTGCGCAAAAAGGAATAACTTCATTTGTTGATGCCAGCGGACTAAGGTGAGAGCACTTTTGTGCATTAGGCCATCGTCCGAATCAAAACTTTCAAATAGTAACGCGATTCGAAACGGATCAAACAAGTGCATATATATGGAAATTGTTTGTTTGATTACAAAATCATATATAGCCCCAACCAGAAGCGGGTGATAAAATCAACATAACAATTTAAAGGCGCTATGCTGGACCACATATTTTGTCGGATCACAGCTGCCTACATATGTGTGAACGGCTCCAGACTGCATCTCAGGAATTCAGCTGCGATGAAGGCGTTAATCTCAAAGACGCAGCATTCTAAACAGTATAACATCGTGCTGATACGAGAGAAGTTTAACCTAATCCAGCTGGATCACAGTAGTTACATTAGTAATCTGTGTACTCCAATGTGGTTGTCGAAACTGATAACGTGATCGATCATCTCCGATACACGGTTGTCGAGTCGGAAGAATAGTGAGTAGTTGGTGGTCGTGAAACAACGTGCTGTACATAGGAAGTGTAAACAGAACTCTGCTCTGGAGCGTCCCGTAAACAGTTGACTGTGTGCTAAAAAATCGGGCAAGCGAATGCATTGTCCCTACATTGCATCGGTGCATGCTCTCACAGATGAAAGTGATGGAAAGTAACTCTTAGGAGAGCCAGTATTTGTTAAAATTACAGATAAGATGGTTGAAGAAAAATACGCAACAGCAGTACGCCGTTGCACCGCACTGACGTTTCGCTACAACGAGACACCCGTCAGTCGCGCACGGCCTAGGGGTTCTGGGAGGTCGCGCGTCTAGGCAGATTCAAATCAGTGACTTGCAGATGTTCAACTACCTGTTTCGCAGCAGTTGCACCCGTCGATGTTAGAGTACATTAGCACGCTACCCGATTCGCTTCACTAGACAAACCGTTCTGTGCGTGCTTCCTCGATGAACACTCACGGATAGCAGAATGAGTACAACGGTAAGAAAGTCAATGTTGTTTATTTGGAGATGGGCGATCTGGCTTATTTGCGTCAGGAGTGACAGCTAAGTTAAATCATGAGTAGACAGGACCGTACGTCGTACAGTGAGCGGCATGAGATGAACCACGTGTGTCAGCAAGGATCCTAACAACGCTGTTGGTCAACCCTCATACCAGATTGGTCAATGGTTAGAGGCCAGACAAACTCAGCCTCCTGGTCCTCCAGGTTGGGGGTTGGAATGGGGGTGGCTCCTCATTTCATAAAACGGGCTCTGTAGTCCAGTGCCAAAACCCGCTGCCTTGCGGTAAGGTTTTTGAACCAAAGGCTTTGGTTGAGAACCCTAATCGTTCTCCTGTCTAGGCCTGGGCAACCTGATAGTATTCTGCCCACGCAATACAATGAACCTTTCCTACAACAATTTCTTGATGCTCTGGCCGTCGCAGAGGATAATAAACGGCGCCCTATCTGCTGCATCGAGCAGGGTGGATAGGGGTCTGGATGCTACTGCTCACGGCCTTCCCGTCTTCTTATACCCCTTCTTGTGCTTCTTCATCCTTATCGTCCCGCTCCAACTTTACTTATATCCCCCCATTTTCAATCCCCCAATTCTTGGCCCTCCCCCAGCTTACTTCAATAGTCGCTTGTCTTCTAATTTCAAATCACACACAATCGCAGGGCCTCGCTCCAATCCAGTCGACAAGTCCATGTTCAACCAAGCGGACAACGTCAGTTCATCCGTTTCCCTTTGGAGTCCTCGCGTCTCGCTAAGACTGGCATGCCTCAACGTGCGCACTTTTGCTGCAGATTGGCCAACAGGCAGCACTTGCCCGCACACTAGAGACCCTATCGATCGATATTTGCTGTTTATCAGAAACCCGCCTGCAAGGAGCATTGATTGGATCCCAGTAAACAGTAGAATGTGCGCCGTTAGATTAGCTGGTTTATGGGCGGCCAACATTGTAGGCTAGCGTTATGATAATGGTGAGCGATTGCTACAGCTGTGTGAAGATGCTCGCCTCTTTCTCGCGAGCACTATCTTTCGACACAGCACCCGCAGAAGCGTGACTTGGCGGCCACCAGCCTCGCGCCAGCCATGGACGCAAATCGATCATATCGCGATCAGTTACCGCTGGAGAGGCTGTGTCCAAAACTGTCGCTCGATTTGGAGCACGAGCGTGGACTCTGACCACGCACTTGTCTGTGCCGACCTCCTGGTGCGTTTCGGTGGACGTCCGCAACGTTGATGTGAACGGATTGACACCAGCCAGCTGGCGAAGCCAGATGTTCTGAATGTGTACCAAAGTGCGCTGACATCTGGGCTGAGTAAGCGCCCACTAAACACCGTTGAAGATCACTGGTCGCATATTCGTCAAGCGTTGCTATTAGCAGCATGTCTTCATGTGGCAAAGCAAATTGCCAAACCGGACATTGGGTCTCTACACAGTCTCTGGAACTTATGGATGCTCGCCGACGTATTCCGGCTGGAAGCGAATACAAGGAGGCTCGCAAAAATCTCAGGGCAAAACTACGTGCTAGCCTGAAGAAGGACCGCGAAACCTGGTGGTCTCATCGTGTCTCTGAGATGGAAACAGCCGCTGCCGTTGGTAATTATCGTAAGTTAATCCGTCTGATACGGGAAACAGGCAGCACGAGACCTGGTGTTAGCGAGACCATACGCGACGAGAGGGGGCAGCCGATCCACAGCCTGTCAAAACGCTTGGAGCGTTGGGCTGAACACTTTGCAAGGCAATTTAACCAACCTGAGTTATCGCTTTCTTTTTCGGGCATTGAGCGCCCTTCTCCTTGGGCCGTCTCCTTGGATCCGCCCTCACGCGCAGAAGTCGAACGTGAGATCAGGCTGTTGAAATTGCATAAGGCCGCAGGAGCAGATAGAATTCCCCCAGCCCTCTTCAAATTCGGGGGACCTGCTCTAATAGATGATCTACACGAGTTGCTAGTAAAACTTTGGGAGCAGGAGACAGTCCCGACAGACTGGAACCGCTCCGTCATTGTCCCAATTTTCAAGGGAAACTCCCGATTGGAATGCGGCAATCATAGAGGGATCAGTCTGATTTCGAATGCCTCTAAATTGCTTGCCTCTGTCATTCTCCACAGACTGACTGGCACTCGTGAAAGCCAGATTCGTGAAGAGCAAGCCGGATTTCGTCGAGGTCGGGGCTGCATCGACCACATCTTCACATTGCGTCAATTGTTGGAGCACCGCCATGTTTACTGGCGGCCCACCGTTGTCGTGTTTCTTGACATAAAATGTGCCTTCGACTCAGTCGATCGATGTGCCCTTTGGGACTGTCTGCTTGAGGAAAGGTGTGCCTGATAAATATGTAAACATTATCAAAGCGCTGTACGCACATAGTTCGGGCAGGGTGAGGGTTTATGGCAAACTCTCGCCACCCTTCAGTATCACCAGCGGTGTGAGACAAGGATCCCCCTAGCCAAGCAGCACTGGACCGATTAGCACTGGCTGTCAATCCATGGTAGTACACTTTAGTCGGAGCGATACAGATCACAGTGCTGGGAATCCGAGTGAATAATTTCCAGAAGTAAAAATAGAAATAGAAGTGCCAGCTCAAGCAAGTTGTGGTATGGAAACGGTATGCACAGTAAATTGAATCGCCTATTGAATCTGACAAGACTTTTCGCTACCGCTAGCTGAAAGTGCTGGCGGAGCAACAAAGTTGATCTAAAACGGATTCTATTGATAACGCCTGCCTTGGATGATGCACAGCGCTGAAAGGTAGAAGAGGAATTGGTTTCTCATCAGAAATCCCTATGGTGTGACCCCGGGGGTCGTGCAGAGGTCTAATGAAAGTT